TATCTGTGAAAAGAAGCTCTGGAGCTCCTGTTTCAGAGGATAAAAGTTTACTGAAGCAGTGGGGGGCAGAAAACAATATGCAATTATATTGCCTCTGATCGGCTTGCAGCAATGCATCACCTTTGTTACTTTCCTTTGTTTTTCTGTTTTAGGTCTAAAATGCATCGTTTATGTTTTCTCTGAACAAATAACACCAGCCCGATTCTGTTCTGCCATGTTGTGGAGTTGCTAATGGCTACCTTCACCTAGACATGCCTTGTTTTCTCCTGGCCACAAAACCATTACAAGGTGCAAGGCCGTGAATACAAAACTTCCCTGTGACATAGACAAGACAGATATTTTTTCCTGACCAGATCATTTTTCTGTCCATTTTCTTTTGGCGGCTAATGCAGGTGCTAGGGGTTGAAGAAGATTTTCACGTTCAGCATGCATGTGGAACTCAGAGTGGCTGATCAAAAGTATTACACAGTTTCTTCGTCAACGATACTTCAAATGTTCAACTTTTAAACAACTAGCAAGGCTATCTTAACTAACAGCGTGACAAACTGGCGTAACTTGTTAAATAAAAAAAAACAACAAAAAAAAAACACATAAACAGATTTGAGTTTGGTTGATTAGTTTTGTTGTAAAAATTCACCCCAGCTTTTATTTCATACCTTTGTAATTCCCAAATATTCACTTTTCACTGAGGCAATGTTTAGGTGCATTTGTGTGAAAAGAAGCAGAGCTGAACATTTGGATAGTGCCAAAAGCCCTTCAATATAATTGTTTTGCAATTAATGTTTGAGTTAAGCCTTCATTTTGTTTTAATGTTTTTGCATTTCATCAATGTTGTACTCCCAGTTTGGTTAACAACCCATTCCAAAATTAGCTCACATTTCCTGCTTTTTTTAAACTCAGAGAACCTCAAGTAAAATTAGGCTTGCAGGGTTTTCAGAGATGAGAGCAAAGGCCTGCATTTTTAATTTGTGAGACATTTGTGAAACCCCCTAAAGAATCTACAGCCTAGAGGGATACTCTCTTAAATGCTAAAACAAACACAAGTACAAACTAACCTGACTTTGTGAGCTGATATACAAACAAATCACTTTTACACCTTTAAGATTCACGGGTACAGTTTGTGATCAGTGGACCCCAGAGGAGGACGCTTGGCAGACTTTGCTGCTGAGTGATCCATTTCTCTGCTTACTGTCCTGAACTTAAAAGCCTCAAGTTTTACATTTAACACACGTGAGAACGTTATCGTCAAAACTGTCTTCTGATAAGAAAGTAATTTCTTCAGCTTATACTTTTAATCCACTCTTGAGAACACCTGCAAATTGCTTTCAGAAAAACCTTTTAGCGTCATCTCTGGATCGTGTCATCGGGACAAGTTTTCTCATAAATACTAAATAAAAAAAGAGGGGCTGTGAAACTTCCTCAAAATATTGAGCATTTTTTTCTAGAACACCTAAATCCTTCTTTTATGTTTGTTGTAAAAGCGTAATTCTCAGATTCCCATGTCATTAACAGCCGCAGAAGAATAAAAATAGCCTAACGGCTAACTCAGTTGTTCTCTATGTAAAACAAATATTCACATCTAAAACCAGCTTTTGCGAAACGCTGCCCTACGGGTGTGCATGCTGCGTTCACTGACGTCTCGCAGTTAAAAAGGAAAACTGCACTATAAACATATTGTTTACGTTTCGCGCGCTCGCTGTTTGTCTTCCCCGCCACCGGTTTGCAGCCAAGTGGAACCATCTCCCGGAGAATTTAGTGAAGGTGGAAGACAAGCTTTTAATCGCCTGTGTTATTGAATTATTGAATTAAAAGCTTAAGTACTCCGGGTGAGCATGTCAATTTTTCACAAGTGAATGGTACAGTGCTCATTCCATTTTCATCTGAATAGATCGTTTGTGTATGTAAAATGTAGAAGAATGGGGGTATTACACAGATCGGTTTCATTGTCTATAATTCCTTTTTACTGTGACTGTAATCATTCTGAGAGACAAGTCATATTCATCCAACAGCTCATGCTAGTCCTTAATCTGCATTCAGATCCCCTCAACAACGCTACACTTTTTTGTCAAGCAGCTGTACTGTATAGCACAGTGCTAATTAAGCCGGGTTTGCATCAAAGGACGTTTTGCATAATTATTGCAGAAGTGGAAGTTTAACCTGTTTTACATCCCCGAGTGATGTGATGGTAAATAGGAGGAGTAAGTGCTGAGGCAAACGGTTCAACCCCCTTTCTACTTGACATTCTGCTCACCTGTCTTCATCCCCCCGTGTTCCGAAACCCTGGGACTGATACAGATGAAATGATGTGACGTTTCTGTCTGTATTTCAATGGGATGCGATGCCGTGACCCACGCAATCTCCGTCTCAGAGAGTATTTCAACTTATGCAGATGAGCTCATCAGAGCTGCCTGCTGAGATGAGACATCTAGGTCTGGAATTGTGTCAATACCAGCACCAAAACAAATGCAAATCAAAATCCAAATTAATGTGTTTTCCCCGAGGAGAAACGGAGTCGTACTTATAGTCGGCTCTCAGTAGATGACAGGATTCTGTTATCCAGAGCTCGTAAAAAAACAAGGCACTCTCAAACTGCTCGCTGTGCCAGCGTGCAGAAGTCAGCCTCTCCAGCTGGAGAAACTAAACTATGTGAAAAAAAAGAGACAGGCGGCTTTTGTGAGGTTCATTCCCGGATGCAAAACATTCCCAACATTCCCAGCATTCCCTCTAACTTCCTCTGTCTGTACTGAGACATACGTTCAACAGATGTAACGGATATTCTCTGCTTTTCTGTGATTTTACTGCAGCCGCAGCAGTGTTTATGTCCCTGCACGAATAACTGGCAGACGTGTTTGGAAAGGAGGTTATGTTTGGATAAAAATGAGCACTTTGGGCTGTTCTAATATGCCTGCAGACCATAACCTGTCTGTCACCACACCTACCTTATCTGCATTTGATTGAGTGGCAAATAGTGCACAGCGCATACAAACAGCAAATTTCCACTCTAGCAGATCTAATGAGGTAGAATCCAAATGATAGACATTTTAGACCACAGTAAAGAATCAGCATCTCCAAACCTTCAGAGGTTGCTTTTTTTTTATTCTCTTTCTCATTTTCTGTTTTGCATATACTCGCCATAACCTTCAATCCACTATTTGTTCCATTCTTTTTCCTGCAGCACTGACCTACTTTTTCCCTACGGGGATCATTAAAATTTAATTTTAACTAATCAAAGAATTCATTGCAAAAGTCCCTGCTTGTAAACTAGTCGCAGTCAAAGTTAGACGCGCGTGTCACCATTTGTCAAACGCATTTATATTTGAAGGAACCTTGTAGATATTTACTGACGGCAGACGTGACGACAGTGAACTTGAAAATAGCACAAGCGCATCCATTGAAGTGATGCAAACTTTTAAAGGAAAACACAGAGCAGAGGAACTCGTCTTCTCTTGGTTGCTCTAATCCACAGTGCCTGTTTTTATTTGACGCTCGTCAATAGAAATAGCTGCGTAAAATGTCGACTGGTATTTTCTCTAGGAGTTGCTCTGAAGTTACAAATAAATACCGCGTGCTGGTGAACAGCTAAAGTCGGCACATTTGTAGGATCACTAGTGCTATCTGTCATCATCACGTGAAAACATCTTTAAAGACCATGTTCACAGTTTTTTTTCCCAGCACATTTGCGGTGGTCTCTAAATATAAATAAATATCTTGCGAGTTGATCTTTGCAGGAAGAAAAGCTCTGGCACTCCTGTTTCAGGAAGTAGAAGTTATCCAGAGCAGAGTTAGGCTTCAGACGGCAGGTGTTGGAGACTTATTTCTTGATATTTGAACATCACACCTCTGATTGGCTGACAGCAAACACAACTCTATCACTGACTCAGTTTTCTTTGCAATGATGATTTTTAATCTTCAAAAAATACAACAATAATAATTATAACGCAAGCCTGAAGGTGTTCTGCCATTTTGTGGACTTGCTAATGCTAACGGTTAGCTTCTACTAGCAGAGACGTGCTCTGCTCTCTCTTGGATGCTAAATCAACAACAGCCTTCCCCATTACGCGCCATGATGGGTGAGTCTGTTAATGTAAAATTTCAATGTGAAGTAGATCTGACCGGCTTTTCTAATCTGAACATTTCCCTGTCTATTTTCATACTTAGCTTAAGTCACGCCCATCTACTTCCAGACCATGGTTCCCCGGAAAAACGAACGCAAGTCAACAGGGCTAAAACGCTATTTTCTCATTTCCTATGTGCCATGGATTTAACAAGATGTCCGTAAATTTTCCACACAGTCTGATGTCAAGAAAGTACTTGTTTTTGTACAGAGGGAAAAGTTATTTTAGGTGTTGTGTGAAAATAAGAGCAGGACTACAAATACACATTACCAAATTAACGTCATTGAAGCAGACAAGCAGAAAAGCAGAGGGAAATTGGCTGTAAGTTTAGCAAACTTCAAACCCTTTGTCCAGGAGGAAAAAAAACACCATAAATCTTGCAATGTGGTAAGTAGCATCTATGCTCGGACAGGAGATTCTGTGGTGATGTCATTTATGCGACTCTGAGTCATAAAAATTACTAATTTTTACAAACTGATCAATCTTAAAGTACGTGACAGGCATGGTCAAAACACAGCATTACTTTTCATTTCAATTGAAGTACAACATATGTGTGATTCAGGGCGTGAGGCAAAGCGGATTAGAAAATAACTCTTTTAGCCCCCATTTAGCCCACTTGCATTCATTTTTCTGATCTTCTGGGGACCCATGAGCCAACCAGAAAAGAGGGAGATGTTGGCTACATATTTATGGCCAATGCAGGAAATCGGGGTAAAAGTCTTCACGTTCAGCTTTTAAACTCTGAGTGACCAATCATATTTAAAAAATAAGTAAAAAAAAAGTTTCTCAGTGAACTTGGTCTTTAGGACATAAATGCACTTCTCTCACGGACAACATGACAGCTTCAGAAGTTTCCACCACTCAGAAATAACCGCCGTCCATGCGCACAGTGTATACAAATTTAATAAAGTACACAACAAGTACAGTAGCCCACATTACGTGTAAGCACAGCTTATTTTTCACATAAACTGCAGAGGACAACAATAAAATTACAAATACATTCTTAAAAAAAAGTAGTTTTTTTTTCATAGGAACTTTAAATGGTTTTATGAAAAGGGACGCTCCCTGTTGCACCACCATTAACAGTTCATAAGACACTTCACTGTTTGAATGTAACGTCACTGATATGTATTTCGGTTCCCCGCGATATCCAAAGAAATGTTCCTTACACACTAAATGGAGACAGAGAGCTTCACTGTACAAAAGCAGACAGGACTCGTAGCTTAACAGTAGCAATTTGTTCAATAGCCTCACAAAATTGGAGTTTGAAATGTGTAAAATACAGACATCTAAAGTGACAGGTACAGTACACCATGGAAACACTTGAAGTCAGGTAAGCACTGATCCCCCTCCCCCCTTTTCCCTCCCGCTCGGAACCTTCACGGCAGTCAAGGACACATATTTCACCTAAAACACAACAAGTCACGAACTGAAAACGAAGAAAACAAACAAAAGAACATAGAAAGCAGATGGTTTTTGGTTATACAATGTGTGTTTGAACACCTCTGTGGGTCAAAAAGAAAAAAAATCAACTCTTAGTCATCAATCGTGGGTATCATCATCAGACGCCTGGCAGCTGAGAGAGAGAGAGCGCGTGATCGCCTCACCTGTCAGTTACCGGAGTCCCTCGGGTCGAGAGCGCAGTCTGACCCCCCACACTCCTGACTGATGACAGAGCTGTGAATGAGACTGCTTGACAGGGACTTGGGCCTGAGCTCACAGGTCAGGTAGGAGGGCTCCTCCAGCTCGGTGTGCAAAGGGGAGCACTGGCCATCTGGAGGGCCGTAGGCACTGCTGTCTGACGCCCTGTCCCGCTCTTCTTTTGACTCTTGGTTGGCCAAGTCCAGGGGCGTACAGCTCTTGGTGGGACTGCTGGATGCAGATGGACTCTCTTGCAGCGGTGGACTTTGAGCACGCTGCGATTTTAAGTAAGGTTTGACATTGGCCACGAGGACTGTACTGTCCCGCTGTTCTTTTCCAAACGTGGTGAGGGCTTTTCTGCTGCTGCGGCTGATGGTGCCATAAATCTCTGTCTCTACCATGGCATCCATTCCCACAGGGATGAAAAGGTTGGTGCGATTATCTGCGTTGTCTGCTTGGCTTCCTACCCGTAACTTTGGCATCCAGCATCTGTCAGAGTGTCCCAGTGCACGACATTCATCGGTGCAGTGGACTGATTTGTCTTGCTCTGCAAAAACAGTTAAACATTTGTTATTGGAGCCTGCTGGGGTAAGTATAAGCAACTCAGAGGAAAATGGAGATGACATTTTGAAGGATGAGCAGCAATAACGAAACACAGCAAACACAAACTCTAGTAATAATTTCAAAATAAAGATTTATATATATATATATTATATATATATATATATATATATATATATATATATATATATATATATATATATATATATATATACTACAAACCACAGCATATTTGCTGATGTGATTTTTGTCTACCAGCAAGAAATTTCAAAATAAAAGTGCATCCAGATTAAATTTTAGCAATGTTATTTTTATTCTCTTCTCATTATTTATTCAAAAAACACCTCTAATGTGATGCTCTGCAACAACGTTCAATGGAAAAGGTAATTAGACCTTTTTTCTTGTTTTTATGAAAAAAAAGAAAGAAAAGCAAATGAGTGATTTGTCCTACTTATGAAACATGTTCCCTCTGGTATTATCAACAACCTGCGTAGGTGTTCTCTCTCGAAAAAAAGATCATGTGGTACAGAGGAAGTGATGTTTTTCATTTACAATTCCATCAGATGTCGGTTGTGTTAAAAAGCAAGGCTAATCTTAACACCCTAAGATGATTTCTGCCATAAAAAACAGGTGGTGTTCTCTCCAGCTAAGGTGCTATTAGTTAGAATGTTGTTCGTGTTTGTTACTCAAAGTTTAGTTTTCAAGTTCTCTGAGTTTTTCTCAGTTTTATTCCTTCTAATCACCACTGTGTGTTTAATCTGTTTCTTTTTTCAAACAATATTTCTGCAAATGTTTTAGACAGTTTACATGTTACATTTACATCTACATGCTATAAACGATGCATGCACTTTGTAAATACCTAGTGTATGCTGATGCTGCAAAAAAACTCTAAATGATGTCTGCATTGTGCATTTGCCCTGTTGCACCTCTGACTGAACATCCTGTAACAATTTATTGTGCATAAATGCCAGTTAATGCCACAGCACCTCAAACATAAATGCCCCATAAACACCTGTCTGTTTGCCAGCTAGCTAGTGTGAGGAGCAGCGCTCAATATGCATCCTCCTCCAATTGGATGCACATTAGGTGCTGCTCCCTGCTCTTGTGTTATGTAGCCAAGATGATGCTCATTCAGAGTGACAGGTGTACAGCATTACCCACTCCACTTTCTGACGGCTACGAGTGACCACACAGGTACTCACAGCACACTTCATGTAGCAATAAATGCAGTAGTAGAGGTTTGCAATTTGGCATCTGCAGTTTCTTTAGTTTCATTCTTGTCTTTGTGCAATGCAGCATAATAATTTGTCTGCAGGAATCGTGTAGGATGTAGCATTTTTTTTTAATTTTTAGTATTAGTAATTTTGTTTGATTTAGCAGCCTAAATAAGTCAAACTGCATGAAAGGCATTTGATTTGAAAAATATTCTAGCATTCCTTCCATCCCCCATCCATCCACCCATCCATCCAGGCTTTGTACCCATTTATAATGTTGGGGGTGGGGTGATGCTGGAGGCTATCCTAGCTGACATTTGGCGAGAAGCGGGGTATCCTACACCCTGGGCAGGTAGCCAGTTTAACACTAGAATAGAATATCCCCTCAAAATTAGATTTAGAAATGATAATTTATACCACATGCACTCATTAGCCTTGCCCTTATCTTTTTCTGCAATTATTTTAAAAGGAATTTGGTGCATAATCAGGAGCTTTTATTGACTGTTTTAAAATAAATAAATAAATAAATAAGTCATTTTAGGTTATCTGCTGAGGAGGTTGGGTTTACAGAAGCCTGTTGTTTTAAGAGCTGTGTGGGCTTCAGGTGCAGGAAAAATCAACACCAAACAGAACATTTTATCATCAATAAATAAAAAAAAAGTGTTGAAGAAATGGAAAAGAAAACTAAAACAATTAGAAAAATAGTAATTACAATGGTGTGTTGATAATTTGCAAGTATATCATTTTTTAAATGCAGTTTATTTTGAGTAACCACAAGGATTCATCACTTCTAATAATTTTACATCCCTAAAGAGACAGTTCAGATATTTGACTTAGGGTTCTGTGAAAAATTAGAGATCATAAATATCTTAGCTCTTTGAAAAACCTCCTTTTGGAGAAATTTATATTCTGACTGGATTCATGAGCTAACTACTAGTCCAAGCAGAGACAAGACAAAGTGGATGGCTGCTATATTTTGAACGAGTAAAATCTCAGATCATTTTTACAGGTTTATAAGTAATAGTATTCATAGTAGTAAAATATTTAATATAAAATATAAAATAATTAGTTTGTAACAAGGAGTAGGTAGGAGTTTAAACGTATTTACACCCAACACCCACCCCCAAATTTAGCTTATTCTTTTCTAAAAATCATTTTTCACTTTGCAAAAATAAAAACAATGCAATGCCTAAATTGCAAGCAGAACAAACATAAAGCAATCATTCTTTTCAACTAAATAATACATCTAATATATCCTTAATTATCCCAATTTTTTTCAGTTCACAGGAGTAAAAACTAAACAAGAAAGAAAGTAACACATACAGAACACCATACATGCTTTCTTTATATATATATATAGACTGAATTTTCCACAAGGACCCTAACACAGCCTTCCCCGCAACCTGCCTCTGTGGAACCTGTGCAGATTTGACGTGCCCAGCTAACCCCTGAGGAGAAACTGAGATGAAGGTCAGCTTGTCTCTGCCTCTATTGCGGTCAATCTGGCCACATGATCTCGCTCTGTCCTGTTCGGCCAAAAGAATGGTCCCACCAGTAGTTCCAGGGTTACTGGTGGGTGGCTTCTCCAATCACAAACCCCTGTGTTCCATAAACTGTACCGTTTCATTTAATCAAAGAACTTTTCCCACCATTGCCTTAGTAGACTCGGGTTGTGAATGCAGCATGTTGGATCTGACAGTTGTGCAGCAGCTGGATATCCCCACCTTGCTCCTTGCCACGCCCCTACACGTATCCTCTCTGGACGGCAATTCACTGACCACCATCACCCACCAAACTGTTCCCATCAATCTGCTTGTATCCGGTAACCATCGTGAAATCATGCCCTTTTTTGTTTTTCCCTCTCCACAGTCACCTGTTGTCCTGGGCCATGAATGGTTAACTACCCATAACCCACAGATCAATTGAAAGTCAGGAAGTATCATAACTTGGAGTAGTTTCTGTTTATCTCGGTGCATGTTATCTGCTTCCCTCCCTGTTCAGAATCCCAAACCCAAGACCTCAGAGCCTCCTGACCTGTCTAGAGTTCCCCTGAATATCACGATCTCCAGCAGGTCTTCAGCAAGGATCACGCCTCGTCTTTACCACCACACAGACCGTTTGACATGTGCATTGACCTTCTTCCCGATGCCACTTTCCCCTCCAGGCTGTATAATCTCTCCAAACCGGAACAAGAATCTATGTCACTTTACATTTCAGAGTCCCTTGCTGCTGGGATCATCAGGCCATCCACTTCACCTCTGGGAGCCGGATTCTTCTTTGTGTCTAAGAAGGATGGATCTCTGAGCCCATGCATCGATCACCGTGAACTGAACCACATCACAGTCAAAAATAAGTATCCACTTTCCCTACTTTCATCCACCTTCAACCTGGTTAGTGACACTTCTGTATTCACCAAGCTTGATCTCCGTAACACTTACCATTTAGTCGGGATCCGAGAGGGAGACGAATGAAAGACTGCGTTCAAGACCCCTCTCGGACACATAATATTTGGTCATGCCATTCGGACTCACTAATGTCCCTGTTGTTTTCCAGTCCCTGGTTAATTCCATTCTCAGTGATTTCATAAAAAAATTTGTTACAGTGTACCTTGACGACATCCTCATTTTCTCCAGATCCATCCCAGAACACCGTCACCACGTTCGAGCGGTCCTACAATGGCTCCTGGAGAACCGCCTGTATGTCAAGGCCGAGAAGTGCGAGTTTCATTCAACATTAGTCAAGTTCCTCAGGTTTGTTCTGGATAGTGGGTGGTTAAAGGCAGACCCAGACAAAGTAAATGCTGTTAAGGAATGGCCAACTCCTACGACAAGAAAGCAACTACAAAGTTTTTTTGGGTTTCGCTAACTTCCACGGCAGGTTCATCAGGAATTACAGTACCATCGCCACCACCCTCACACAGCTCACATCCATTAAACACTTCTCCTGGACCCCGGAAGCTGACCTGGCTTTCAAGATCCTGAAGGACAGTTTCACCCAAGCACCCATTCTCACTCGACCTGATCCTAGTTCCCAGTTCGCTATGGAGGTGGACGCCTCCGACACCGGTGTGGGTGCAGTGTTATCCCAGTTCTCCTCCTCTAACAAGACGCTGCATCCATGTGCATTTTTCTCCCGTTGTCTTACGCCAACCAAACAAAATTACGACGTGGGAGACCAGGAGTTGCTTGCCATAAAGTAGGCCTTGGAGGAGTGGCGCCATTAGCTCGAGGGCGCCGAACATCCCATCCTCATATGGACGGACCATAAGAACCTGGCGTATTTAAGGGAGGCCAAAAGGCTTAATCCCCGTCAGTCCCACTGGTCCCTATTTTTCTCCCGTTTTAATTTTGCCATTTCTTTCAGACCTGGAACAAGAAACACGAAACCAGATGCCCTTTCCTGTCAATACGCCTCAGACAACGAGGTCAAGCCCACTGCTATTCTTCCTCCCTCCTGCATTGTTGGTGCCATCACTTGGGACATCACAGCTAAGGCTTTGGAGGCCCAACAGATGGATCCCGACCCAGGTACTGGTCTGCCTAACAGAATCTATGTCCCTTCCTCTGTTCGTAGCTCCCTGATTAAATGGGCTCACACTTCCAAGTTCTCCATCTATCATGGACACTCGCCCTCATCCGAAGGTTGTTCTGGTGGCCGATGCTCTACAAGTATATCAAGGAGTACATCAGTGCCTGTTAGGTCTGTGCTAGAAGCAAAGCAAACAATCAGCCACCTCATGGTCTCCTCTGCCCCCTGCCGGTGCCCTCACACC